TTCCCTACTGCATAGGCTTAACCAGATGTTATTTTTAGGTCAAATGCAGCCTACAACCTTCCTAACTGGAAGTCTCACTGTGAAGATGGTGAACGAGAAAGCTCTGTTGCCTTTGCAAACCAAGTGACTCATTTCTTCTCAGAGTTAAAATGTGTTGTGCTTTCATTGTCTTGAACTTATTCTGAACTTGCTTTCACATCTTGGCTTGATTGAACGACTTGTCAAATAGAATGTTGCCTCACTGTTGTAAAGTTATCTTTCAAAAAGCAATTTAGCTTGTTGTCATAACATTGCTTTTAGATTGAGTAATATTTTGTCCAAGAAACATGGTAATTTTGCAAGGTGGAATCTTTTATTCACAGCTGGCTGTACTGCGAGGGGAAAGTGCCTCAATTAAGACACTGCAGGGTACAATTCAGGCCTTGGAGCGGGACAAGGCAAATCTGCAGGAGCGTGTTCAGAGATTTGAGAAGGACCTAGCTGCAGGGCCTGAAACCAACAAGTCCTCAGGTAGTACTGGGCAAACCACAGCTAATTTGTGGTAGTAGTAAAGTTAGTGTCCTCTTTTCCCATGGTCTTGTTCTTGGTGTTTCCAGGTGATGCAGTTTTAGACCAACTAAAGGAGGATAAGGAGACAGCAGACAGTCAGGTATGTATATTGTTGGGCTCATTCTGAATAATACTAACCATAGCCATGGATAGATTGAGGTTTGTTTTTTTTTTGGCCACTCATACATTCAGCAGCTGCACAATAGCAGTCTTGCTGAATGTTGTTTGTGCAATGTACTGTACTGTTTCCTCACATTTACTAATAAATAGTACTTCTGACTCCAGATTTTACTGTTTTATCATTGATTCATATGTCATATTTTACAGAGGTGTAATGGGTCTAAAACAAAGTGATTTAATTGAAATTTAAATAAAACCATACTAAGCTTCTGGCATCATCTCAGCTCTTATGGTGATGATTGACACAACTCATGAATCGGTGTCACATTTGTATTGGCCCATTTCACCCACAGTCAGCATCACCACCAGCCTCTGTTTATATTAAAATGTTATACTGTATTATCTGTCAGTGATGACTTGACATGTTGTCTGGCAGGAGATGGGTCCTAATTTAAATCTGGTTTTTGCTTTGTTTTTTGTTTTTTTCCTTTTTCTTCTCCTTCTCTTTTCTTAAACCCCAACTCCTCTGCCCTGTCTCTGATGTTGGCAATGCTGCACCACCATCAGGCAGCGGTTTGTTAATGTTTTTCATCAGCTTCACTTGTGCATGTTTGTCTCACGGTCACTGTCACTGTGGCTCTTATGTTTCGTCCAGTGGATCATGTTAACAATTGGTGGCAAAACTGCAGACTGTCTTTCAAAGAAAAATGAAGCTTGATTTCTCAGTACCCTGAGCTAAAAGCTGTGCTTTAGCGTTTTTAAATTTCCCAGGGAAAATACAGCCTCACATCACATCTGGTAAAAATTAGTTTTACATGCATCATTAGTGGGTATTTTACAGACTCTCATAGTGACTCATTCCAAGCTTCCGTTTTTTCTTTGACTGACACCTCACAGTGGCGATTCAACATCATAATCAAGATTGGGTTCTTTGGGCCATGACAAGGCAGAATTAACTATTATTGGTAGGCCTTGTCATAGAATTAAGGCAAAGTCTAGGTACATAATACAGTCAAACTTCACTGGGACACCCTATATCAAATACATACTGTGAACAGCATTTTGTTGATGATTCATAGAGAATTGCAGGCAACATTTATGCTACCGTTGTATATATCCTTAACAGATTGAATTCCTGAATTCAGTCATCGTTGACCTCCAGAGGAAGAATAAGGAACTCAAAGAAGATATGGAGAAAATGGCAGCTGCTGCTCTCAATGGGAATAATACAAATGAGCTGGATGACTATGATAGGTAAGTCCCACTCACAAACTTTCTCAGATCTCCTGTAAAGTAACAAGCTGTGTAGCCATCAGTTACACACAGTGCTTCTTACCATTTCTCTGCAGCCGTGAGAAAGAACCCGTGAAGAAGAAGCCACCCCCACGGCTGTTCTGTGACATCTGCGACTGCTTTGACCTACATGACACCGAGGACTGTCCCACACAAATGCAGATGAATGATTCCCCTCCACACAGCGCCTATCATGGCGTTAAGGGCGAAGAACGGCCCTACTGCGACATCTGCGAAGTCTTTGGCCACTGGACTGATGCCTGTAATGATGACCAGACCTTTTAAAGCCTTTCTAACCCTCATTCGCACAATCACTCTATTTGCACATTGTGTAAGATTATGTGATGCTTTTGGGGTTTCAGTTTGTATGTGCGTGTGCTTGTTTTTGCCAGCCATCTTTGTCGTCCACGCTGACCCTTAAGCGCTCTTACAGGGGAATGATCTCCTGACTCGCTGTCCCAAACATCCAGAAATATATTATACAGAAGTCTGTAATTTTAAATGACTCTGGAGGAAAAACGGTGTGATATCCTGTGCTAGTATGAATGAAGGGGTTCTGTAGATGAAAGTGTTGTGGGAGAAGCCACAGTCTCTTCACATCATTAATTTATCAATATCCTAACACTGTTTGCACAGCTTGTGGAGGGGTTACACAGATTATATTGTATCACAGAGGTGTTTATTTGAAACTGTAAATGACTTGATCGATAAACAGATGTCAGTTGTGCAAAAAAAATGGGTGAGCTATAGTTTATTTTTTTATGCCTGGAAATACTATGTACTCTAACAGTTTGACAGTATTTGTGTAATTTTAAGGGGAGAGATTTGCAGGAGCAGTGAAACCTAGTGCTGTTCAGCTTTAACAGGAACTTTCTCTATGGTCTTTGTGAACAGACTGCTGGATGATCAGTAAAAAGAAGCAGTTAAACCTAAAGCACGTCACAATTAATGTAAACCCTTGGTTCCAGTGAAACGGCCTTTCCAAAAAGTTTCTTTGCATTTAAAAGGTCATTTCTGTATGAAATGAAATACTGAGGCACCTCTTTAAAAATGTTTTGAATGTCTCTATCAAAATAAAGGAAATTTCTGCATAAATTAAAACAAGACCTCTGTGCTGATTGTTCAGTTGATGCATTGTGCAGAGGTAAACCTCATCCTGCATGATGATGAGAATGTGAAGAGGTTTAGGACTTTATAAATTATTGACCAAACTTTCTCATTCAATTGGACGCTGGCATACAGTACTACCAAAAATCTTAGTTAATATGCAGTTCAACTCTATGGTACGTTCACAATCAACGGTAAAGGGGGAAAGCAGGGAGGGATTGTTTTCTGTGTGTTAGACCAGCAGGTCAACTGGAAACATCTTTCTAGATAAAAACAGGCTCTGGGCTTTAGGGGGTTTGCTGTTGCTGCAGGATGTGACGAGCTTCAGCGGCAGACTGCCATTTTTCCAGCGCTACACTCAACTCCACAGTCACTGGTTCCAGTTGGAGAGAGACAGGGTTGATTGTGTGGGCTTCCACCTTCCTTCCCTTTCCTTTGTCTACAGGGCATAACAAACAGGAAAAGAGGAATTTACTGACTGAGAAATAATTTTGTAACAAAGTGTGCCCCTCACTTGTAGCCTGTTGTAGTCATGTCCCCCACTAGGTATAAACCAGATGAACTACAGTGAGGAACAGAAGTATTTGAACACCCTGCGATTTTGCAAGTTCTCCCTCTTAGAAATCATGGAGGGGTCTGACATTCACATTGTAGGTGCGTTCCCACTCTGAGAGACAGAATTTAAAAAAAATCACATTGTATGATTTTTAAAGAATTTAATTGTCTTGCACTGCTGAACATAAATATTTGAACACCTGAGAAAATCAGTGTTAATATTTGGTACAGAAACCTTTGTTTGCAATTACAGAGGTCAAACGTTTCCTGTAGTTCTTGACCAGGTTTGCACACACTGCAACAGGGATTTTGGCCCACTCCTCCACACAGATCTCCTCTAGATCTGTCAGGTTTCGGGGCTGTCGCTGAGCAACGCGGAGTTTAAGCTCCCTCCAAAGATGTTCTATTGGATTGAGGTCTGGAGACTGGCTAGGCCACTCCA